GATAACGTTCATCTCAGATCATAGAGGTGATCGTGATCCAGGAGCTGTTTACCACTTGAACAGACAGAATACAGAAGCTATGAAACCCTGGAAGCTGAATGCTTTCTAATGTTAAGCTCAAAAACCTCCAGTAGTTTCACGGTCAGATAACTTACAAACCATGTGAGATGTTTATATGAACTAAAAGCTCTTCAGAAAGCATGGAGAAAAAGCACACGTCCAAAACGGTGCTTTTTGCAACTGGGATTTTCTCCTAACTTCTTTTTTGGATGAAATCTCCCCTTCAGTGGGGAAATCATGCTTGAGGAGTCATGAGGAATTTAAATTTTTTTCTCACTGGTTTCCTACTACCATTCCTTTTTTAAATAGTTGATGTCTGGAGTGTCGTATTTAAATCCCCTCTTCAGCTGACTGTGTCTGGGATGCAGTGAGTTCAGCCAGACCAGCTGAAAAATGGATGGCTCTAGTATCGGCGGCCTCATGTAGCATAACTATGTAATCCCATTAAAAATGACCGTCTATTCAGTTCTGGGGCCTTATCCCCATCACTGGCACTGTGGACACAGCATCTTTCAGTCATTGATGAGGTTGGACAATGATTGAGTACTTTTTGTATGTGTGAATGGGCTTATTATCTAGCAAGTGAGTAACTCTGAGGGATTCTTAGGATTTTCAAGAGCATATTGGTGTTTTAGAAAGAAAAGACTTCCTGGGAGATTTGTATCCTTAAACTACCGAGGCATTTCTAAGAGCAACTCTCAGGCTCCCCGCCCCCCACCAGAGAGGTCACTGCAGATGCCTTGTAGCTGCACGTCCCCCTGCCAGCATCCCCTGCCAGCCCCTGGACCATGGAGACTGGGCTCTTCTTCAGGCTGCATTTTTGTGTGTATTTGCTAGGTTGCAGGAAAAGTAATAGGAGAAACAAATCCTCCAAGTCTATACAAATCTATCACAGAAGATGTGTGTGGTGGCTACAGGCCAAAATTATTTGCTAAGAACTTAAAGAGCCTCTGAGCTAGATAAACGGAAGGGTTTTTCCTGAGGACAGGAAGGAAACGACTTGACTTTGTCGTACCTTCAGCTTCCCACAAGCTTTGACAGTCTAATTGGCTTTCTTATCCGGATGGAAGCGCTGGAAATCCTGATTACCCATTGTTCCCATTTCGTGCATTCAGCATTTACCGTCTCCTCTCCACCATTCAGCTCTTCCTCCTCCGGAGAAGCCAGCAGGATACAGATTATGGCATGATTATATTCTCCTCCAACCTGCATTTTAGGCAGTTATCGTTGTCAGTCCAACTATTTATGCCATTGTAATCCTACGTGTAGCGAGGCACTCGAATGTTATGTCTGAGAGGGTGTAACATAGCTGGAATACGTGAGTGTCTGTGTATAAGGAAGCCAAGTCTACTTCTCACTACATCTCACCCCCTCTATATGCCTGAAAACCATAAACTAGCCAAACCTGTCTTAGCTTGCAGATTTCACACTTGATTCTTCCTGTAGCTCATCACAGAACGATCACATCCTATTTACAAGCTAATAACTCATCTCAAATGCTCAACCATGTGGCTGCACTGTAAGTGAGAACTGGAGGGTTGCACTAGGTCAGAGCAAGGTTGCTCCAGCTCAGCACCTTGTCTCTGGCCCTGGTCAACAGCAGATACTTGGGGGTAAGATATAAGGACATAACAGGCACACTCCAGTTGGTACCCCCAGCTCTGACAGCGTGAGAGTCAGGGACATCTTTGGGTTTGACAGCCCTGGAGAGGCTCCCCCAGCTCCCCTCCCTAAATCGTCTCATCTTTTTTGAATCTACTGATATTTTTCACATTGACACCCACCTGTGGCAGTGAACTCCACAGCTTGACTATGTAGTGAATAAAAAAGTACTTTCCTTTGCTCTAAAGTTTCATTTGATGTCTCCTAATTTTGGGGTTATGAAAATATTCAGTAATTGTCCCTTCTTCAGCATGACATTCAACCTTGTTTCATCATACCCCCTTTTTTCCGTCATCTCCTTTCAAAAGTGACAAATCCTAGTCTATTTTCTCTCCTTGGATAAAAGCTGTTCCATACCTTTGATCATAATTTTTGCCCTTCTCTGTACCTTTTCTGGATATAATGCTTCCTTTTCTGAGATGGGGATGGGGATGGGAAAAACAAGAACTGCATGCAGAATTCAGGATGTGAGTGCACTACGGATTTATAAAGTGGTAATGAGGGTTTTTGTTCTATCCTCTATTTCTGTCTCAGTAATTCCTATGATCCTTTTTGCTTCTTTGACTACTGCTGAGCACTCAGGCTTCAGAGCATGCTAAAATGTGGAACCTATTCTTTATGACTAGTTTCGTGTCTTTTAATGAACTCTCCTAATCTGGGGGAAAAGACACAGTCCCTACCTATCCACACCTGGAACAATGCCCAAGGTACCTGTCTAGTAGGAGTGGGAGGATATTAGTGCTCTGAGATTTCAGCGAGCTAACAGCGTGCACTTCCTTTCACTAGATGTTTTTCAGGCACTTAAACTTTAGCCCCATGCAACAGCTGTGTGAGGTAGGTAAGAATCATGAAATGAATTTAACAGATGGAGAAACCGAGACAGAGAGATTTGTCCAATTCACTTAGAAACTGTCACAAAGCCAGGAACAGACTGAGAGCGAGACCAGTCTTTCCTTTCACCGGCTGCTGTAAGTGAAACGGCTGCCCCAGGGACTGTCCTCACCCAGGGCTCCATGGCCGCACAATGTCTTACGCCTTTACCCCTGCAGCTTGCAGTCTTTATCATGCCATGGAAAAACAAGAATCCCTACTCCAATGGGCAAGCACACCATCTTACCCTACCCTACCCTACCCATAACTATTCTTTCAAGCTGTAATACCAGTCAAGTTGGCAGCAAAGCAAGCCATGAAGTAGTTTTGAACTGTCCTATTTCTCCTCATATTATTTCAGACTGGATCACATGCAGTAAGTAAATCATAGAATCACAGAATGGTTTGGGTTGGAAGGGACCTTTGAAGGTCATTTAGTCCAACCCTCCTGCAATGAGCAGGGACATCTTCTACTAGATCCTTCCACCCAAATTCTCAAAGGACGCAGTGCCACAATAATGTTTTGGTGGCAGAGGTATATAGTGACCTGTGGGCCTGATTCTGGAAGGTTCTTAGTGCTCTCAGGACCTCAGTGCAACTACTTGGGATTTCACACCCCCTGGCCCTTTATCCTAACCAGTTTTAATGAGAAGGTCTGGATGGTTCAAGGAGCTGACAATGAATTATGAAACCTTTCAGACAGACATCACTGGCTCAGATCAAGCACAGGTAATGACTGGAAGTTATACACTGTTGGCTATCAGGCTGTGAAATGAGTTTTGTGGAGTAAGGCAACAGGCACCCTTATCACAAACTGTTCTCGCTCATGGACACTCTCTTAACCAACCTCAGCAGCAAATGCAGCAGCTAAACGGGCACGGATACTGAGATACGTCCTTAATTGTTCTCCTGCTATAGCGAAACACGCATCGGCAGGGAAACTTAGGAAAATTTGTACTGAAAAACATGCTGCTACACTTTTCCTGTGGGGAAGGAGCGTAAAACTGTCAGCTTGCGCTTTGGGGATTTATCTGTGATAGTACCAGATGAGAGAAAAATGTCACCACCAGCATATGTTGCCTTGACATACCTGACTACCTAAAACTGGGAAATTACTCTGTGAGCTCACCAACTGTAAAAAGGGCACATCAGAGGAGAAAGAAAATGCATTTAATGTGGAGAAGAGTAATTTCTCTTGAGAGTGCTTAACTTCTTAGGTAGCTCTGGAACAAGACATCGGGGCAGACCCTGTCTCACACAGTGCAAATTTTCCCTGTGGACCTTGCAGCAATGCAATCCCTCTAACTAAAATACCCAGAGCACCGCATTATATTTTTATATACAAAAGACTGTGAGAATGATTGGTGAACGCAGACTGCCATGATCCACGCAAGGGGTCCATTAGAGTAAACTTGTGGAAGGTACCAGATACATACCGAAGCACCCACAAAATCCTTCTCCATGTGGGAATTCCACGGGAATCCCATCCCCTACAGCAAAGGGGTCCCTCCGACAGGGAGAGGGGTCCTGGTAACAACCTGTTTGCTCTCTCTGCTGCTGTCTCTCCCAAAGCTCCATTATAAAAGCCTTGGTAATCCCACTGTTGCACAAAATGCAAAATCAAGGGAAAAAGACTCCAGCTACTCATGCTGTTTGTAGATAAATTAAACAAACACAGAAAAGGTTGAGACAGCTGGAAATTTGACAGGAAAACTGGGTTTTCCAGGGAGAACACTAGAGCCAATTTACAGTTAATTACTGTGATTTGGAACAGCTCTGTGAGTAAATACCAGTCTCTGATTGTCCAAGTAAGGAAGATAATTGTTTCCTGAACTGTGTCCATTGTGTATTTAATATGTTGTCAGCCTGTTCCTTTCTCAAACTCAGAAGAGATTTGGTTTTCAGCAATGTGAATCTGCTATTCTTCTGTTAACAAGTAGCTAAAATCCTAATGCTGAGCACCATACCTGCCATGAACGCAATTTATGGAGCTCCACAGCCACATTTATAAAGCAAACTCTCCTAATGACGAGGCTGCTGGACGGTGCCTGAGTTCGCAGCTGCAAAGCAGTTCTGCCATCACTGGTGAAACAGCTTTGAGGACAAGGGGGCCTGGAGGACCACCGGGCACTGCCAGCCCCAAACTGTGCCAAGCACCGCGCTGCTGTAAAAGGGTATAGACAAGGATGGGCAGCAGGAGAGAAGGGACATCATGGAAACCCTCCAAACTTCATTATCTATTTCTTTTTTTTCTCTTCAGAGCAACCAGAGGGAAAATGTTTCTACAGAGATTGTACCAAGATTTGAACACCAGATATTGATACATTCACTAAAAGGCAAACCAGAAACTCAATGGGCACTAGGATGGTTTCTTAAGGAGCTCAAGTACTACTGAAATGTTGGCTCACCTGAGTCCAGAGCAGGTACTGAGACTGACTGAGGAGTCGGGGTACCCTTGTACGTTCCCATGGTAATAGCAGTGACCCTGATTGAAAAAAAAAAATAAAAATTTCAATAGTCATAAACACTCTTTGCCCTCTATTTTCTTCATGTTTTCCCATCCCCTTTATTTCAAAGTGATTATCAATTTCAGGCTACAGCATTCAGAACCACTCTGACAGCACCTTTCCTGCCCCACTAAATTTTCACCATACTTAGTCCAAATGGTTCCTAAATGGAAATCTTGGGTGTTTTTAAACTCTGAAGTGTGGGAGTGGATTTTTTGTTTGTTTTGTTTTCTGTTGTGTTGTGTTTTTTTAAAGAGGGTCAACGGTGTTTAAATTTCATGATTGATCACCTTTTCCTGTGTTATTTTATTTGAAGTTACAATATGGAATATTTTATAAAATTAATCAGATGAACAAATCAGCTGACACATTTTACTACTTTTATAGACATATATTTTAGTTTGAGGTCATTTACATCTACGTATGTCAATAGGAGGTAGCTATGTGTAAAAGGAAGTATAAAAAAAGCCAATTCCAATCCTACAGTTTGAAAAAAATTGCAGAGCAAATGAAGGGGAAGGGAACCAGGTTGGAAAGGAAACCTTCTATTGAATTACCCAACGAGTGGCTGCATGTTATTAAGAACAACCAAGAATAAGAGGGTCTTCTATTTTGAGAGGCAACAATCCAGTTTCATTTTGGGGCTAGGTTATTGTATTTCCTTAATAATCCACTGCTTGCAAAAGGCACCCACGACAGAGATCCTTTCTCAGCACACACACATATCTGTCTGGAATCCAGGTTAATTTTATTGTTGACTAAAGGTTATATTACATTCCCAATTATGTGACTGGCTGGAAAGCAACGATTGTGTCACGTCCAGCATTTCTTTTCTCATGGCTCCTTTGAATGCCACCTGGAAGCTGAAAACACTGCTGTAAAAGGTTCCTATCTTATTAGTGCAAAGGAAAGTTATCGCTCACGCTTCAACCTGTCATCTCACTGTGCCGTTTTATTACTCGGTTCATTCACATCCATCTAGCTGCATTAATTAACCTTTTCAGTTTTGGGGCATGGTTTTCACTTACCAAGCCTCACATAGCGGACTTCTAAAGACCACCTTGATTTTGTTAAAGAAAGCAATAGCTATGAAAATGCCGGCAAGATGGAATAATTCAGATATGAATTTTTCTGGAAATAAGGTTATACCATGAAAAATATTTGTTTAGAGCATTTGTATTTCCAACATGAGCAACTGAACACAGAACAGCAACATCTGACTTTCTAAACACAATTCTCAATAGCTTTTCTCTGTGTGAGGAATGACAGAAACAGGGTAATAGTATTTTACTCTTGGGTATTTTTATCATCAGTAGTCATAAAGAGTCGGTAACACGATAGCAAGGATAAAGGCACAGTAAAAGGGAGGAAGTCACAGACTGAATTTTTTGGGGATGATTGCTTCAGTCACAATTGCTGTGGACGTCAAAGTTTTCAGCATGAGTATACTATTTCACTTTATTTTAACGTTATCAGTCACATGCATCCAGTTGATAAGACAGAAGGAAAACCAACACCCCTCCTCAGCACTGACTCTCACACGGTGACCCTGAAACAGTCTAAAACCAAAAATAAAGTAGGTTTATTCTCATCACTTAAAGTATGAGGCAGAGGTGCAGTTCAGAGCGCTTAAGCAGCCCGTCATCGGGGTTTAGCATCACCAGTGTCCTCAGTGAAACGGGGAGGGCAAGCTGGTATCTCGTGCCACGCAGGCGGCTGCTGCACTCTAGCTGTCTTTATCAAAGAGTGAATTGTGGCAAAGGGCCCGATTTCTTTCCCTCTCCATACACAACTTGTCATTTTATTAACTTTGAGCTCCTTGTTGTGGCCCATTTCACAGCTTCTCTGAGATCCACATGCTATATGATGCCAAAGTTCAACACTGAAAATGTAAACTTAGCAGACCGTGGCCTGCAATCGGACTGGTAGAAAATTGATTTCTAGCTCAGTAACTCCACTGAACTGCAGGATTTTTTTTTCTCCTATCAAGTCTTTTTATTCCTGTAAACTAGTATATAAAATGGATGACCCTCTAAAAACAAATAATTACTGTGGCTGATTTGTCATACTTAAACCAGTACTCTACCCTTACTTGAGATCATTTAATAAATACCAGCTTTTGACAACTGTAAATTTTTCAAGTGCTATAAACCAGAAAACTAACTGGACACTGACTCGTGTGCTAGAGAAACTCCCCACATGACAGCTCCCCAAACCCAACTTGGTCTGACCTCTAAGCAGAATTTGACTAAGCAACTTTTCAATGGGAAATTGGATTTGGTTTTCAACTACAGACTATATTGATGTCCTCAGTGAAGAAGAGATATAAAAATGAAATCACAGTGACTTATCTTTTTGAAACCATATTGCAGTATTTAATAAAAAATGAATTCACTGATGTCTCAAAAAAATAATTTAGGCAGCAAAACACACTGTCAGTATTAATCATGACTTACCGCCATTACGAAAACCGATTTTTTTTTTAGCCTAGCTATCATTAGTTGTACACATATTCATGTTAACATAGGTTAATCTGTCAAAAACTTGTGTGCTTCATTTCTTTCCTTTTACTTCCTTTAGAAGTCTATACAGCCTTCCCGTTTCTAAAACAAATGACTATTTTCTACTAAGCTGTTTTTGAAGAAGATATGAGCAGCCAGCAAAAAAGAAAACAGTGAAAGTTTGCCAAATGATTGCTTTACTTGAGAAGTCTGGGGCTATAATGAAGATGCTTTTTCAGAAGTAAGACGTTATGCATGGAAATAATGTCTTTCACTGATACCAGCAAAGCCCATTATGGATGGGAACACAAAGCAAGATGCCTCTTCTGACAGCATCAATAAATAAGTAACGTAACATAACAAATACTTTATAGGACTTAGGCAGATAAAAGACAAACTTTGTAATTAAAATCGTTTGCTGCATTGTTTCTAATTAAGGCGTTCATACTGCCAGAGGACAAAAACATTACTACCTTAAAGTGTTTTTTATTTATGAAAAGTAGTTTTTAACTGCTGATTTTAACAAGGATCACATTAGCCATATTTATCTAAATCTATATACATAGACATAAACATAAACATATACACACATACTTATGTGTGTGTATATATATAAAAAAGTATATCCATAACAGTCTTAAGGTCTGGTTTAAAAACTAAACCCAAGGAAGCAACCCCTTCTCCCAAACCCCAGCCATGGCTTCCCCAATGTGGAAAGACACCCAAGCCTTCAAAACGTCTGATGGGAGCTTCAGCACTATGGAAATTAGATATTTAGGGCTCTGTTCCTAACTGAACCAGGACTTTCCTCCATAACTGATCACCAATGACTGCATTTATTATAAAATTTTAATGGGTATATTTCCAAGAAGCCGAATAAATCTTACAGATTTTAAAAGTCACCTGGTTAAAAACCCCACAGCTTGTCTTTAATGTCTCTCTCTCAAAATTCACGTGTAGTAGGATCACAGCAGTCAAAAAGGTACTGAAGGCAACAATAAAAAAAGATCACACATCTAGCTGTTTCATCCCATGGCTCAGATCCCGGCAGAGAGCACTTCGGGTTTTAACGATGAAACATCACCTACCCACGAAACGCCAACCTTACCGTGTAATTGCGTGCGAGAACCACATCAGTGCCGTCTTTCAAATAATGTGTTTCTGTGAAGCTGCTGGCTAATAGGCCCCTGAAAAATATAAAGCACATGGAATATTAAGGCCACATCGCCTTGACTCTGTCCTTTAGTGGTTCCGTTTAAGATAGTGATCAAAGCCAAGCATTAATGATACAATGACTACCGGGACTGTGTGCGAAATAAGGAAAAACATAACTCCAAACACGACGCGGCAGTACATGAACACTTCCTGCGCTAATTGTGAAAAGACTACAAGTTTCCAGACTGCTTTCTCTTCCAAAGGAGGACTGCATGCCAGCACATCTCCGTATTGACTCTTCCATGTAATTTTCAACACATTTTACATTAAATCTGAAATCTAGACATTTGGAGTATTGTTAAGTAATGGTGGGTTTTGCAAAAGGAAAACGTTTTCCCTCTGTTACTTATTTTACTGTATAATGTGTTGTATTCACCACCAAGTGACCACCCAAAGACTAGTTTAGTTCTTGGTAAATGAAACAAACTTCTTCCTTTGACACTCAAGGGAAAACACTGCAAGAACATTCCAGAACTTAGAGTACCGGATTTATTCTGATCATCTGAAAAGGATATTCACAAACGGAAATCTAATGACTTGAAATGATGTATCAGTAGATGGTGAAAGACCATGTCTGTGATGAGACATTTTGTTCTCATTCTCTCCACATTTCCCCTCCTGCCTTTAGCAATGACATAAAAATTTTGACTTGCAATTACCATTTTCTGGAAATCTCCAGAGAGGGTCATGTGCATAGCAACTATGAAAACTTTTCTTTTTGTAGTAAACTCATGGAATAGGGAAAGCAGCAGCTGCTTTTTTTTAAAAAAAAAAAAAGTCTTGCTATTGATCTGTTTTTCAACTCCTTATCTAACGAGCATTTCTAACAAGGCTAGAAGGAAAAATGCATATTTACATTTACTCCTAACATAGGTGTTAACCTACGTGCCTCAATACAAACATGCTTGAGCTTTGAGAAACACTCCAGTGAAATGTGAAAGCACAAGATAGAAGAAACTAAAGATAAATGACACCATCACCTCCCGAAAACTGAAGAGTGTGGACTATTGAAAATCTTTGGCACAGCATTTCACAATATTCTGTTCCACTTCACAGAAGTGTTCCTCCCTTGGGTTGTTCATTTGAACAGACCAGGCCCTTTCTTTTATTTAAAGCTGGTTAATGCTGCACTCTTTTGTATATACTAGTGTGAACTAGTACACAGTCTGGATACACATTTCTTGCACTCTGCATAAACATTAAAACTAGAACATGAACCAACATCCAATTTTCATTACTGATTTCTTTGCATCACATTAATATCCAATGGCTCAGTCATGATAAGGACCTGGTTGTGCTAGAAACTGTATATTAGAGATAAAACCCATCTTTAAAAGCCTCTGTCTTAATGCAGAAGAAAAAAAATGCTGAATGAAACAAGAATTAAAAAAAAGAAAAAAGAAAAAAGAAAAGAAAAAAAATAGAAGCAAATGGCATCATAAAAAGATGAAGATAGCGAAGCCCCAACACAATGAGTATTCAAGCACGATTCTCACTTTACATCTTTCAGCTTTTGGGAAATATTAGCATATTAATAGATACCGAATGTTACAGCACTACAGCGTTTGGTGGGTGGTACAGGAACTGCTCAGGATCTCAGCCAACCACCACACCTAGAGCAGGATTTGGTTGCCCGACCAAGCATCTAACGTTGATTTAGACTCCATATATTTCACCAGCCAGCCCCGTCAGGACACCTCCAACACCCTGAGGTGTCTCAGGCGGCACTTGACACCTCTGCTTATCTCACCTCTTGTGCCCGCAGCCTCTGGAAGGCCTGCCTGAAACCAAGAGTGCTGTGGCTATGTTTCCTACTCTCTCGTTATCACAAAGAGCAGCTGCTTTCTTAATTATCATTATTATTTATATAACAACACCGCTAAGGTCTGCGCTTAGCAGGCATTCGTTACCTTTGTAAAGGCAAAAGGTGAGATCCCATTGCTGTTGAAGCCAACAGAGTTCTGCTGTGTACTTTTTGGAAATGAGATTTCATATAGGATACCTGAATGATTTTTATTTCATGAGACAAAATACAGGCAAGGGATAGGGTAACAGATGTAGCATAAGGGCAAAGCGATTGAGCAATACACTCGCTTTGTGCTCTGCTATTTCCAAAGTGTTTGACAGCAGTGATGATAAAGGTGACCTTTCCGCTTCTGTTCATTCTACCCTCAGGCACAGATTTAGAAAATATTTCATAGATTCATAGATTTTAATACCAGAAGGGAGTGCTGTGATCAGCAACCTGACCTGCCGCATTATGTAGGTCATTGGACTTGAATTAATCTTCTCGCACAATGACTGTGATGGAACCAGGTCCATTTTCTTATTGTATAGAGCCCTTGTCTAGATCTCCCACGATCAAGAAGCTATCACAAGCCTGGTAAGTTTTTAACAGTTACTTACACTCAATGTAAAAATACTGCACTTTGTATCTAGCTCGACTGTGTCAATGTTCAGTTTGCAACCACTGGATCTTATTCCCCTACATCAATGCTTCATTTTAATTTGAGTCTTTCATGGACAGTTCTACTTACTAAAGTGAGGAAATATAGCAGGTAAACAAATTCCTGATGAAGATGTCATCAATCTTCCTGCCAGCATGAAAGTTTGCTATCTACCCTGATGAAAATACTGGCTGAACGTAAGAATTCCCAGAGTCAATAGTAAAAGAGCAGCAAGAGCACTGAGATGATGGAGTCCCACCATTGGACTAACCTAATAAGCCAAAGTAGGATTTCAAATCATGGAAATTTCATGCACTGCTGAAGGACCATTTTAAGAAAATGAGAAAGTTTTTTCAGGAGTCTTCATTAATGCTCCTTCAGTTTCGTAACTAAGACATCATTGCCGAGACATCTGTTTTCCTGCCACGTACGGCACTAATGCTAGTGTGAGAGGAAGCCAGAGGAAAAGTTTTCTCTGCACTGTAGAGGCTGGGGACCTCTACAAGACATGTCGCCAGGGAGTCCAACAATTCCTGGCACAGAGAGAAGCTGTTATCCTCACTTTCAAAATGTTTAATATCTTAAAAGCTGTATAGGCATATAAGTATGCAGCATTAGTATCCAGGGACAGCAAGTCATCTAAAGGCATTTCTTGAAAGATGAAAACTAAGTGTAACAAGGACTCAAATTCCACAACTGAGTGTGCGCCGCTTCACTTTCCAATTATGGCAATAATGTTTAACACACTAAACAATGAATTCAACATATGTATCTATTTGGTAATTTAATTACCTCCCCAAAAAGATATGCAATGTAATAGATTGATTTACATTTCTGTTTGTGACCCACAGTAAAGGAGAATAATAGAGGAAAGTAAATTAATTTAGATGGCAAGCTACTTAACCTAATTGGATCAATGTAGTTCTGAAAGAGCAGGGATCAAAATAACATTAATATATCATAGTGCGATTCATCACCATGTCTGGAGTTTCAAATGTTGTCAGCTACAACGCTCAGCAGTACCAGATGATTATCAATTTTTTGCACTGCATGAAGAAGAAACAAATGCTATCGAGAACTGCATCAACTGCTGGATACGATTAAACCAAATCAGTCGAAGTAACACCACAACTTTGTCACTTATTCTCTGAAGATGCAAAAGTGCAATTCTTTAGTTAAATTACTTATGTGCTTAGTCACTATGTTTGTCAGCACTATGGATTTTTTTCACGTTTCCCAGAGCCAAATTAACAAGTTGAAGCTTCGATGGCCCAGAAGGACAAGTTTTTCCCTCCTGACCTAAGACAGACACAGCACGGGCTTCCTCATCCTCTGCAAATCAGC